GGGGCTCCCGGCCTCTCCAGGCCCGCGGGCCGTGGAGCAGGCGTGGGCGCCGCACGCTCGCACCGCTCCTGCTCCGAGGCTGCACAGGGCACAAAGCGGAGGGGAGATGCAGACCCTAATTCACCAAAAAATGGTGCTCCTTCTCCACAGCGTCAGGCTCGCAGCGCGCTCAATAAAGAGGCCTTTCCTCTTACGTGAGCACCGTAACCAGGTGGTCTAACAGGCTTTGGGGCTGGCAGTTGTTTAGTGAAAAGGCCAACAGGAACAGGGCAAATAGAGGACATGTCCTGCCCAACACATAAGGACAAAAATTAAGGATGGCAGTTCTGTTCCTTTATGAATTCGTTAAGTTGGTTAAATTTAAGTGTCTCCAAAATATACCTTATTTTTCAGGCACGCTATAAGTGTCTAAGCTGTTGGAAGCTGTCATTGTCTGATGAGGCCCAGGATGAGTCTTGGGTTTTCAGGAAACAAAAATGATTGCTTCACCAAAATATACTATGAATTAAAAACAAATTAAAAACAAACCAATAAAAAAACAAAACTGAAAATCCAGCAGATTATCTCATGAAGAACCATTTCTGTATTGGACAGCCAGTTACATGTTCTCTGGGAAAGGCACTCAAGCTAGTAGGAAGGTGCCACAAGTGCAATTTACTAATTAGTCTAAAATGCAAAATGGAGCCATTCCATTGCAAAACACACCAGTGTTCATATTCTTTCCATGAGGCTCATTAGCCATTAAAAACAGTGCTTCATAACCCATTCCCCCCCCGCCTCCTCTTTTCTTATCTTAAACAAAGCCACAACCCAAAGTATTTAGGATTACTCCAGTAACGCTTCCTGGCACTCAGGGGAACTGCGAACATTTTGCAAGAGAGCGCACAGGGAGGAGAACAAATCCTTAGTTCTCTGTAAAGTCTCTGTACATCTGCATTACTGTCAGTGCTACCATGAGAAAGGCTTTGTCACAAAAGTTGTGGTTATGTTTGACGTGCGTTACCAGTGAAGACAAAAGAACCACTGATATTTTAAATGGTAACAGCCACTACCTATTGCTGCAGGTTTCTAGTTATGCGTCTTTTCGCTAACATCGGTTAATAAAGCAAACTGCAGCCTGTGCCTTTGTCCACGTGTGAACTTACAGTAAGTGGAGCAGTGCTCAGAAGCAAGCAGTTAGGGACCCCAATTTGGCCACAGCACTGAGGAGTTAAATACCTTGCCATATGAACACAGTCATACTGGGGTTCATTAGAGGAGAATAATCTAGTAGTGATGGACCTGGAAGAAGTTTGGCATGCATAGGGCATCAAAAGAAACTTGACCGCAGGTGCTATATATCCTAGAGGATCACAGTGCATAAACAGCAACAGAATAGAGCATTTCAATCAGTGATTTTACTCAAACAGTTCTGTCCGTCCCTGAGTGCTTCCTCACCACTTTGCTGCCGTTGACCTGATCCACCGCGAGCGTCTCCACGTGGGGCGGCGGCGGCGGCGCCGCGTGGTGGATGCGATGGGCCACCCCGATGTGGGCCTTGTGCGGCTTCTCGCGGGCCGGGCTGTGCGACTCGCCCGCCGCACGGTCGGACGCGATCGGGGGGGTGACCAGCGGCCTCTCCTTAACGAGCTGCACCTCCGCCGTCTCCCGGGCCAGCAGAAAGGGCGTGGGATCCGGCATGGCATCCACGTGCTCCCTGAGGAGCAGCTTCCGGCTCTCCGCCCCTATTCTGTAGGCCTCTTCGAACTCCGGGTTGAGCGGGGTCGACAGGCTCTTCTTCATCCTGCGGCGCGGCGTCTCGGGCAGTTTGTCCTTGGGAGGGGCGGGTTTGTAGCTGGACAGCACTGGGCTGCCTGAAGGGGTCCCCTCCGCAGCCCCGCCTGAGCTCATCAGCTTCTTCTTGGTGGCGTGGAGCTGAGACGTCAAATACGCAATGGTGCTCGCTCGCTGCTCTAGTTCACTCGACAGCATATTTAGCTTATGGCTTTTCATTTTTAACTCTTCTAAATACTTCTTTTCTCTTTCTTTAATAGTATTTTCCAGCACCATTATCATTGCATTTTTCTGTTCAAGTTCTTTCAATAACTCATTGTTTTCAGCCTCTTTGACTTTCAGCTGAGCTTCCAGTTCTTCACACTTTCTTTTAAGCTCATCACTTCTTGAGCTACCATTTCCTAGAGGAACAGCAAAAGCACAAGTGTTTCATATTAATTATAGCCACTAAGTAAAATAGTGCTATGGGGCTTCCTACTGACATCCTGAAGCCTTAAAGAAAAGCCCTACAGACTGTCATCTAGAAATACCCTAAATCACTTCATCTGCAGAAGTACCAGGACAGTTCTTAAGAGGGAAAGGTAAGCGCTAGCACCGCTCACTGCAGTTGAACACTGTTAATACCATGCAAAAGAAAACAAAACAAAACAAAACAAAACAAAAAAAACAAACTCAGAAGTGTTTCACATGCTTTGGCAAATGGGGGGGGTTACAGGAGTAACGCCTGCTGAAATTGCTCAGATTGGAGGCAGTTTTTTTTTTATGAGACGCGGTTGCAGACGTGCAGAGCCCTTCTGCAGGCGGTCGCGGCCCTTGACGCGCCGTGTCCATCTTCACTGGGGAGCTGCTGCTGTAGACGTCGCTCGTGGAGCGAGAGGGCTCAGTGTGGCTGCCTTCCCTTCCCAGTAAGGGCAGCCAACACCCCGTACAGCAACAGTTCTTGCACCAACGAGTGCAGGCCGTTTGGCACAGGGACACCAACCTCCTTCAACACCCCTGCCACCTGGTCATTTCTGTCACCTTCTCCTTGGGAAGCTGTTCAGCAGTAGCAACCCACTGCTGACTATTAGATGCTGGACACCCTCCTCTCCAGCCTGGGGAGTGTTCAAGTTTGGCACCACACAGCTCAGCACCCATGACAGGCCTATGAGGAGACACACTGAGCTGTGCTGCTGCATCAAGAATTAAGCCCCGTCCTGGCGCATGCCCAGGTTGCTTTGCTGAACTTGCCCACGCTCTTTTATCTACAGTACAACATGTCCCACCCCAGGCCATTCCTGGGCCAGGTGGCTGCTCCCAGGGAGAGTTTCATTCCCATCCTTCACTTGTTGATACACCTGAAATAACTGGCAATCGACCAATTTTTTTTTTTCCAAAGTGTCTGTGGTATAATTACAGTATGAGCTGAATTTTAATAGGAGTGCCAGTCTGTCTCTAAAATTCATGTCCTCTGTTCCCATACGGCAAATAGGGAAGTGATGATCTGGTGGCTGAAGTAACGGAGAGGAGTCAGCAGTTCTACGCCCTGTTCCTGACTCCTGCAAAGATTTCCTATGTGACCTTGGTTTAAAAACTTGACATTTACTTCATAAATACTGATAAGGCTGGAAAGCAGAAAAACCAGTCTTCTTAAACCTTTGGCATGTTTGTTAAAGTTGAATAATCCAAGCACAAAGTGCTTGTAATGGTAAAAGTACTAACAGTTTGAAACACGAGAAATGCACATGAACATTAAAAGAAAAATCACATATATTGTTTTCCTTACCTGTCAAGTCTGAACTTTTTACAGTCAGCTCATAAGTTAAATCTGAAAAAGGAAAAAAATGGTTACTTTTGTTAGAATAATATCATCTATCTTACCCGGAGCATATTTCCATTGACATGCTTTCATAAAATACAACCAGATTAGGAGATCCATTGCCGATTACCAAATCTGTAAAACAACCAGAACAGACAGGCAGAGCCCTTTTTTTTTTTTTTTTTTTTTAAAGAAAAATCCTTGCTATTGATTACAAAAAGTTGTGCTCTGAGCTATATTCTGTAAAAGTAACATCAGATCATCCTAAACATACTGTAGTAACGGACTTTGTTGTGGACGTTTGACTTCTGAAATAAGAAGCAGTTCCCAGTCTTGTCGGAAGAATTAAGTTCGGATATTGGCTCTTCTTCAGTAGGGCAACTCTGTGCACATACAATTCACCAAGTTACATTTCTCTATATACAAGAATTGGTATTTAGAGGATTTCAGAGAGAGAATTCAGGCCTGGTTCCCAAGCCTCACTTTCTAGTTTGGGATGTGGTAAGATCTAGAGGTTGAGCACTGCTCTGCAGACATCCCCTCCACGTAAACCTAGTCCTCCACCTTCCTGTGCCTTGGCTTTCCCTCCCCAGCTGTGGTGGTCAGGGTCCCTCTCGGGATGAAGCACGCGGATATTTAGCAGCAGAGCCCTGGCAGTGCTCTGGCCGCTCGCGGCGGTACCTGTGCAGTGCTGCTGCAGGCGACGGATCTCGGCGTGCAGACCTTTCAGTGTGTTCGCATGTTCGCGCTGCAGAAACAGCAGGTTCTTCTGGGCACTGTGCAACTGGTTCTCCAGGTTGGAAGCTGCCATCCTGACATGCAGGTTCTCTGTTAGTAAACAGATGTAGTCAGTTATTGTGCAGATATAAATATCTTGGTTCTACAGCCCAGATCAACAGTAACTAGTCTGCTATTAAAGAACTGAATATGCAACGACACAAATGCCCACAGAAGTAAAACATTTTCCAGTTTCGTGACTACCTCAGTTATAAGGGCTCCAAGTTCATAGAAAACCTGATTACACTCTGGGCCAGAGCAGCCCAGGAACTCATTTGTTTGGAGTTAACACATTTAAAGGATTAGTTTCAGACAGGCTTTAGGTCACTAATCCTTTTAGAAGATAAAAGTGGAGTTCTCAGAAATGACTAGTATGTCCCTCGGTACTGTCGAGGGCTTCCCATTTACCTCTCAGGATAGAGGAATGAATAACTCCCTTAATTAACAACAAGGAAGAAAGCCTTAAAACGCACCATAAAAGAGACAGCAAAATAATCTGCCTTCCTTCAACAAAGAGCGGAGCCCGAGGCCGCTGCCGTGCGAGGGTCTCTGTGCGGTTGCCACGGGCTGCCCCCGTCGAGATGTGCGTGCTAGAACCTGCAGCAGAGAGCTCTGCCTGGCGCGGCGGCGATTGTGTCCTCAGCTGCGCGGCACGGGATGGGATCCCGGCACGGGATGGGCTTCCCGCAGCGGAAACCCCCCAGCCCAGGGGAGGGATACACGCGCAGTAAGATGATGCTCAGGCAGACTGATTCTCTTAAAGAGAAAACTAACAGACTTCTTGCTCGGGTTTTGAGCGCAAGAGAAACTGTAACGCTGCTTGAAATTCTTTGTGCAGTAAGAGAAGGGCCTGGACTACACAGTGCTCAGTCAAACAAAGATGGAAATGGATAACCGGACATTGCTGGGAGGAATCTTCAATGCTCCGGGTGCTGCTTGCATTACTATGGTAACACAGCTCTGCAAAGGCAGCCTAGTCCTCCTCCTCCTTAAACAAAGATGGAAATGGATAACCGGACATTGCTGGGAGGAATCTTCAATGCTCCGGGTGCTGCTTGCATTATGCATATGGTAACTCACAGCTCTGCAAAGGCAGACTAGTCCTCCTCCTCCTCGGGCAGCACACAGACATATGTGTGCAGAAGAAAACATCTATGGAGACAAGTTAATGGGGACGCCAAAGGGTCAATAGCTCACACTGACGGGAATCCCGCAAGACCTGACTGGGAGAAAACACATCTCTTTGGGAAGCAGCACAGGACAGGTGCTACTCCGGGGAGGCATGAGGAAAGGACTGCCAAGTGCCTCTGGGTGTAAGGAGACAGCAGACCTAAAATGGTGATCACGGTGGGTTAAACAGAGCCGGAAAAACAATTAGAATATTTAGGCTACTTAACCAAGTAAAGAGAATCTCTGTTGCTGAGACAGCTGTCTGCGCTGGCGTTACAGCGGCAGGCTGCAGTGACAAGTCACAGGCTGTGCAGGAGTCAGACCTTAATTCTCTTCCTCGACTTCTCACTGGTGTTGCTGAGACAGCTGTCTGCGCTGGCATTACAGCGGCAGGCTGCAGTGACAAGTAAGTCACAGGCTGTGCAGGAGTGAGACCTTAATTCTCTTCCTCGACCTCTCACTGACACCCTTAACTGGCCAATCTTGCCATTTGCAGTATTTTTCACAGTTCTCTTTTTTCACAGTTCTCTTACCAAAAAGAGAAAAGTGAAAAGTTTGATTCTACAACTTTAAAATTTCTAGGATGTCCACTTGGTGCAAGTAACCCTTAGACTGTTTCTAAAGTTAATACTTTAACTTCCCCTGAGCTATGGCTAGTTTTGCACACAAAGGCAAGAGATTCACACGAGAAACTTTCCATGGCTGCCACAACTGTACCTTCACACGGCCCACAGCATCAAAGGATTATTTTAAGATTGACTACTCAGGTCATAGCAGTTACTGTATAGCATCATTAATTTTAAGGCTTATTGATATTTTTGCTGCCTTACATTTTCAAAGTGACATAGTCTTGCTTGCAAAGCTGACTTCAGACAGACAAAAGCTTTAGTGAATCATCCAATTTCCTAAGTGCTCATTATATTCTTATCGACAGAATATGACAGCAGAATAAAACCTGCACCAGCGTCCATCCCTCACCATAGCAGGAGCTCTCACTGCACTAAAACCAATGCTCAGAACAGATCTTTATTAATAATGAGAAATACCTTTTATTTAAAGAAACTTCTCCAAGCACTGACAGTGCTATGTGGAAGAACAGCAGGCATACAATATTCTGAAAGCTTTATTATCACAGTGGTTACTAATAGCAGCTTTATGCCTGCACCTGTAATTGGGATAGAAGAGACAATCACCAGCAACGAGCACACCAATAAGAAATATTTATATCTCAAGTCTTGTACAAAAGGCATGCTTTAAACTAGTTCTCTATGTTAGGAGAAAATAAAATGAGCTTGTAAATATTACTTCCTTATGGTTATTTATCCCCTATAAAAAAACACCTATAATGCTCCCTTGCATCTGAGAAATCACACTAGAATTACCTAGACTGAAGAAAAACAATCAGTTATAGAATTCTGGGAAGAATATGAGTATTATCTGCACCAGAGCATCATCTCCCCTGCAGCACTGAAGTTAATCAGTGAAAGCAATTAAATCATCACACTCGGGTTTTAGGTGCAGCCCCTTTGGGGTAAGCAGTCCTCGCTCTCCCCTGAGGATAAGGGATCAGGAGGGCAGCTTTCCCACAAACCCTTCCTACCCTCTGCTGCCTTACTGGAACATATCGCAGGGCAGCCCATTGCTCAGCTGTCCTTTCTCCTTTCCTTCAAGGGAAACAGAAGACCATCATGAAAAAGCCAGTTTTTACAAAATTTATGGACAGCACCTTCAATTCTACCCTGCCCATTGTAGACTCATAGGCAGCCTCAAGGACACTGCAACATGTGCACGTGTTCTAGGGCTAAGGCAAAACTACCCGCCATAAAAATGATGGGGAAGGTGTCTTGAAGACGGTCACAGCACAAAGAAGCTTTCTCTGAAATCTGCTTAAAACAGGCAACTTGGTATGAATACACTGTATTTGTAGTTAGTAATAGCTTCCATTCACTGTAGTAATACTGTGAACCTGAAAACACAGAAACATAGCTAGGCGTATTAAAGTTTCAGATCTGTATGAAACTCAGTCCAACTCACTGCGCATTATCTGTCAACCCAGGCTATTACTGCAATATTAAAAATATTTTGGACTGCTTTTGCAGTCTAATTTATGAGGAAATTTCTACAGCACAAAGGAGGGAAGAAAAAAAACTCATCTGCAGTCTGAACAGCCTCCTGGAGACCAATGCATCACATTGTGATTCACCCAGCTCAAAGTTCTGGAATATTTTCCCCCTGGAGACTTTCAGGTAGTGCCTAACTAGAAAACTGGCTGAAAAACTACCTATGCAGAAGCCAATTAAAAAGAGTATCTTATTTTTTCTAGAATAACATCAAATTGTTTCATGCCATTTTAACAGTAATACAATGGAATTGGACACAAGAAGATTAAAAGAAAAGGATAAGATCTCCAGTACATAAGGGCAACCGTATAGCCCCCGCAACCAATTAACTTAATCTGTTGCCACGCGAGTTCTTTCTAAACAGACCATTTGTGAAGATCAGAAACAGAGCCAGGAGGAGGCAGAGAAAGCTCGAAGCCCAACCTGGCAGCTGGACACCACCAGCGTGCCCCCCAGAAGGGAAACGGGACATTACCTGGCCTAACATGCACGTGTGGGCTATTTAAAGAAGCCGTTACCAAGGTTCGGATGCTTTTGTACCACCACACTATTTATACTGCTTGCACAGCTTGTTCCTATTCTTCTGCTATTGCAGTGGGCTTTATTCTTACTTTGCTGGTGATAGCTCGAGCTTTTGGAGTTGTTTACTAAAAAAAAAAAATGCTGAACAGAATAATTGCTTTTATTAGGGAGTTACTCAATAATCAATGTGAAGGACTTAGAAGCAGCATAATAGCCAAAGTTGTCTTTATATGGCAGTGCCAGGATTCTCTGCAGGAAACTCCTGAGTCAGACAGGAGAAATACGTACAAACAAACGGGATACAGACAGCTTGATAGAGATGACCTCAAAGACTTGGCAACTACACTTACTTGGTAAAGTAAGTGTCCAGACTATGGACACTTACTCTTTGATGGAAACACAGGGAAAAAGCAGGCACGGATATCCCACAGGCAAGCACAGGAAAACTTATTCCAGAGAGCATTACAAAATCCAGGGAATGTGTTCACTTCGCTTACCGGCACGCAGCCTGCACGCTTCCCTCCTGGATGCTGACACTGCCAATGCGTGACAGGGCAAGAGGAGGCATTGCTGACCTTCAGCAGATGCTTAATGCTCTTTCTTTGCCAAACTGTTATGATTTTTCTTTTGAGTGGCAGCCTGGAACTATGCTGATTTATGAGCGGAATGTCATTTGAATCCAATCAATTTTCTAAATTGGTTACCTTTGAATAATCTGGATTATTAGAATTTTTCTATTCCGTCCCCACCACTTACTGTCAATGTGTATATTTTATGAAACTGTTAGCATCTTACACCTAATCGATTTTCCTTGCTTACGTACATCTTTTAAAGATTAAAGGATTTAGAAACTATGCAAACATATAAACTATTTTAAAGCCACAAATACTGACAATGGTCACAAAGACAAATCATGTATTTAAATTTTTAAAAGCTATTATAAATTAACAATATTCCCTTAGTTCTGCATTCTCAAGTATACTATTGCTAAAGGCTACTATCATTCAATTAGTTGTTTTTAAAAAGTCGAATTTCCTGCAAATAAAAAGATTTGATGGAAGTGAGATCTACTGACCAACAAGTCAACAAACATTTTCTCACTAACGCAGCAACTATAAGAGCACTTTCATATGCAGATGTTTAACTTAGCTCCAAGGGAGGTTTTAGTCACAGTGGCATTTATTTCTACCCCACGCTCCTCAGCAATTCTTAACTCCACGTTTCTTGAAGCACAGCATAAATAACCACAAATCAGATCCAACAACCGTTGTGAGAAAAACAGTCCTGAGAGAGGTTAATTCTAAAACGGATTCTCAGGTATGGCTGCCCCTGGAGTTTCAAAGAGGAAATCCTATAAAGCAGCTTTGGGATTGGGCTACAGTTATTCTATCTCCTGCTTCCCTAAAGAAGGAGGCATATGTCAACAATACTGTCAAGAAAATGTTAAATTAAATAAATAAATAAATAAATTCCCCCCCACACACACACAGAGGGCAAAAATGCAGCAATAGCTGAGCCCTTAATAGTCCAGGTGAACAGTCTTCCATCGCTCACCATGGGAATCAGTAGAACAGTATCTCTTAAGGCAACCCGACTCTGGCTGCATTTCATCAGATAAATTGAGCCAATGCAGGGAAGAAAATTCTAACTGCATACATCAGAGAACAGTTAAGTCACTGTATCTTTTCCCCTTGTCTCCAAAGCAAGGAAACAGGTTCTTATCCAAAAGGCATGGTGAAATGCCAAGCTTAGCAAACTCCAACTAGGAATGCCTATGTCCTTTCATTTGATAAGGATAATAAAAATTAGGAGGTGCAGTAACAAGTCAATGGTTACCATCCCATTCTACAACAGGAATAACACTTTTTGCTGGGCATGGGGGGCATCTTGTTTGGGCCTAGTTACTAATTTTTCCACAAAAGGGGAATTAAAAAAATATATTTAAAATCTAAAAATGAAACAGGAATTTCCAAAATGCAAATACATGGCATGCTTACAGTAAACAGCTATTGACCTTGTTGACAGCCAGATCTCTTGCCTTGCAGATGATGCATCTCCAGGTCTTTTCTAATCTTACGTATTTGGATGGAGCTCAAAACAGGTCAGGGCATCATTTTCTGGCTGTGTATTAGGTGTTTGTGCACAAAACTCTATAGTCCTCTCTATAGCTTATTACAAGATAAGAAGAGGGAGATGCTAATCTATGATTTAAGATACAACCTAAAGAAAACTGCTGGAATGAAGTCTAACTAACCATGGTTATTTAACATTTTCATTCTCATTTGGCAGAAAACAGACAGATTATACAGACAGAATAATGTTTTAATGCAGAAGGGACTGCTATCATAGGAGAAGCTACTTTAGCTCTGCTGACATATATTCAAAGCTTCCACTGAAACATGTCTAGACAGGCAACTGTTTTCCTCTCAACCAGTATCCAGCCATTGCCTTCCCCTTAAAAAAAATAGGACAAAAGTTGCTTTTTGTATGGTGTATGAAACATGATTTCAAGAACTAATTAGGACCACAGGTATCCTCTTGTGAGAAGGAATCCTCAGAAGAACCTTGAGTTTTAGCCAGTCCCAGTTTTAAAGACTGTCACGGAACCGGCCCAACACTTCTAAATAATGCAGCTCTAGTGGTAAAAAATGCCAAACTGAGAGACACTCAGAGGTCCTTTGCTTAGATCAGCTCTTCCATCTCCAAAGACTCATGTCCTACCAAAAGTGTTGGTTCAGTTTATTCCTAAGGACATAATAAAAGAAATTCTATAGTCTCCACAGCAGCTTCAGGGCTTTGCTACCCTTACGCTTAGACATTTCCTTAAATCCTCTAACCTGACATTGTTACTGCTTCTACCAGCCGCTCCAGAGCTGGCAGTGACACCACCACCATATCACGGTAGCTCATCACAGAGTTTCAGATTTCTGGTTCCCCTCTTTCATCAGTTCATTAGACTAAACCACTTCACCTAGTTCAGTCCTTGCTTTAGCCGTGCCTTCTAGACTGGCCTACACAACTGCTTTCTGAATGTCTCTCCCCTTCTTTGGTGTTCCCTTAGCAGCATACATATTATAGCAGCAATTCTGTCCCTCTCTTCCTCTGCTGTCTAGGTTAGAGCATAAGGAGATTTTACTACTTAACTATTACCTCAATAAATTGCTTTCCCACTCTTTTAGGCTGTGTCTTTAACCCAAAAAGAATTTTTTTTTTTCCTAGAGACTACTGATACTGATGCACCTTTCTCCTGCCTGACGAAGGATATTATTTTTCCTGAGGTCCTTTTCTAACACTTTTTCATACTATTTTACTGGGTGTTTTTTTTTTACCCTATTTCCCTTTCATCTTCTGATCAGAGATATCAGCCAACCTCTCAGCGTCCCTGAGGAAGTACAGGCTTCAGTATTACTGCAAAAAGGTTTTTTGTTACTATGACAGTGCCTAGTATGGGAACAGGAAGAACAATTATGGGGGAAGGCATTTCTGGCAGCAGGGATTTAATATCTGCAGATGCCTTAAATGAACAAGTCGGTATTTTGGGCAGAAATCACTGACATCTTGCAAGCATGACTATCAAGCTTAAGTCATAAGGAGTGACAGGAATAATTCAGGTTGAGTTTTCTCTGTCCGTGAGACCAGACTGTCACTGGGAAAGCAGATGAAGAGTACCAGGGCTACCAGAGGCATGTCTGAAATAGTTGTGGTCACTAGCATGTCAGAGACTACCAGGGAACCAAATTAAAAGCAAGTGGTTCTGCAGTGTTATTGTAATTACTGTGTGCATACCAGGCTATAGCAATGATAAGGCTGCACAACTGTCAGGGAGAAAAGCCTTGCTTTTGGCAGAAAGCACTGAAAATGACTTAATTTTGGCATAATCCACTTCAAGGAGAGGGCGCTGTCACCCAAATAACACTGACTACTTAAAACCAAACAAGCAACAACAACAAAAAAAAAACTCTTAGCAATGAAGTCCACACATTTTCTTTAATGTTTATTACAATAACCATCTAGCCCCTTATAAGTAAGGCTATGCTGTATTTTAATGGAATGTGTAGGTTTTCTTCTGTTTTCCTGTACAAAAGATGCTCCCTAGGAGCTTCTATTTCACTCCATTTTGAGTAAGAATTGGTTTATTTCAACATAGCTTCCATCAGGATTTTAAAGAAGACAGAACAAAATAAATATTACCTCATACCTAATCACAGTCATTTACAGTATGGCAGAAATTTATGCTATTCCTTCTACTAAGGACAATTTCTATTGTCAGAAGGGAAAAAGAAAAAGAGAAATTAATACTCAGTTCAACCCCTGGACTAACTGACTCAGTGTTACACATTAGAATGAGCCTTTCTTTAAAGTCATTAAGAAAGTTCTCCAGCTTCAGTTAAAGCTGAATCAGGAATTAATCCATTAAGGCAGCAGCTGAAGGTTTTATTCTGCAAGGATATAGTATTACTTCAAGTTTATACTTAGGAATGATACAGTATTATGGAAAGCCAATATTTTTATCAAATATCAATGATTCCCTCATGACCACCATTTCATGCTAGCTTTAAGTGTAGAGTTTGAGCAGTAATGCATGAATCACATGAGGAATTCATACAATAGTATTTGTGTCATTAAAAAAAAAAAAAAACACTTCCAAATACTTAACAAAACACAAACTGAAAAGTTATCATGACAGTTTTAACATAAGAGACTCTGTTGGTCATTGTTTGCAAGAGCTTAGTGCCAGGTTTGTCAAATGCTTCAAATCACCTTCCTTTGCTGGTCTACTGATCATACTGTGAATCAGGTCAAGAAACTGGTCCAACTAAAAACTAACCCATTTTTCCGGTTTATTGTGCAGCAGAGCAAATGCTTTTGAAATGCTTGAGCACAGGCTGAAGGGGGACTTGGAAAATCAGTAACCAGGGTGGTGGGGGCGGCAGAGGCAGAACTGCTTCCATGGCAGCGGCACCCGCTCCAGGCACACGGCCAAACTCTAGCTCCTGCTGCAAGAACTGCACTGAAAACATGATTTGCAGAGTTTATCCAGAATATTTGTGAAACACGTCAAGAGGAACAGGCTGCAGACTTACAGCAGGCTAAACAAGTTGGTCCTTCTAGGAAAAAATCCACTCACTAAGAACAGATATTTGAGCAGTAAATCAACGAAACAACGCAACCATTTTCCAGGCTTGTTTAACATGCTGAGAAGTACGCATGTTCCCTAAAATTTTCTGTGATTTCAGGATAGCGACTGCAGTCAAGCATACAGAAATGTATGGCTGTGCTTTGCTCAAAATAAAGGTTTTGAGAGCTCCTGCTGAAGGAGATACAGTGGTAGTAATTACCCATGTGCATTGGATAAAAGCCATAGGTTTTTTAGCTTATGTCAAGCGATGTTTTTAATAACTGACCTTGAATCTTGGGTCTCAGCCCTCTAATTAAGACTGAAAAGCAGGAAGATATTTGAGTATTTTAAGTACAACCCAAAAAGGTCTTCTAGAACTTGCTGCGTAGTAAACAGGCTCCTCAAAAACGGGAAAGGTTTTCAGCAACACTTTGTTACATCTCTTTCTTTTAGCAGCAAATAAATGTATTGATTCTATTTCTAGCATGGTTCTTGTTAACATAAACAGAAATAATGAGCCAGTAGAGAACAGCACAATGCCCTTCGATAAAACTAATCACTGAGCCCCTAAGTTATGACCAACACACCTGGAAAGTCTCTTGCAGAGGAAAGACCAGTTGATAGCACTTCAAAACCAACACAGCAGAGCCTGCGATCAGCCCATGTGCACAGCCAGGTGTATAAGGAATGCCAGGTCACACCAAGTGCAGGAATCAGGGAGGAGACACAGCAAGCAACCATGTGAGCACCAGCATTTCAACTCAGCTGTTCTGGATTCACTATTTATCACCATTTGCTTCTTCAGACATGGTATTAGGTGAAAGCACAAGGAAGGAGGAGACTCTTTGTTCTGAGGCACTGCGGATGCGAAGGAACCAGAGCAACATGATGAGATCTCAGCTGAACAAAGAGCAACCTCCCTGCTCGGCTCCACCCCGGCCCTCAGCAGCTCTGCTGCTTCCAGGAGCCACAAGCACCACCAGAGGCTGGGTCTGGCAATATCGATAATCGCTATGTGGTATTAGCTTATTGCAAAATATTCCTATCTGTAACAGAAACATAGGACCTGCAACAAGGCAGCAAGTTTCTGTCTGTGCTTTTCTGCATTTCACAGCAGCTCTAAGCACGCCCAATGTTTTCTTGTGGACTGCAGTTAAGAGGACATGGAAAAGACTGCAAACGTATATATCTTTTTTCTGACACCACAATGATTTTAAAGTCCTTTCTTTGTCTGTGACTTTGATTTTTCAACCTTTTCAGTTTCAGGAGTAGCAGACAAGGAAAAGCTAGGGCCTTGCCTTGTCAGAACACACCTATCTTCCCTAAAGCATCTACAGTAAGACATCGGATTCAGTGATTTGTCTGTAAGCTACTACTCTTGAAAAAACAATGCTGTTAGACAAACATAAATACAGACAAATAAATAGTCACTCATTTCTTGTCAGAAAAAAAATTAAGTAAACACCTTCAGAAATATGAAGTTGTTAGCTCTCTGTGCAGCAACCCATAAACTACGAAGTTTGCTACTTTTTAATCTTATTACAAAAAGATGAGGTGAAACGTAATTTTTATTTTTGCTCAAGTCCATTCACATTGCATTATTCATCTTATACAAACGAGTATACATTGTAATACATTGTAAATCTTGAGGCTATAAAAGAAATCCTTCATTATTTTGCTATTTACATTTTTCTATAACTCAAGAAACTATTGAGGAAAATGTAGAAGAATCTAATATGCTATCAAAAGTAAACTTCAAAGCTATTTCTGGAATATTTTATACACTATAGCAAATATAGTTGTAACATTTTATTTTACGTTCTGGTATAAGCACATGGAAGACTTTGCCAACTGCTGTTAAACATGATAAAAGATAATGAATTGCCCTTAGAACCCCTTGAATTAGGGCACACAGAAGAAATTGATTTCTGTAACTCTAATGATAAGATAGATTTTTTAAAATAATTTGAAAACCTATTCTTATGGGGCTGCAATTATATCTAAAATCTGAAATAAAGGAAACAAAGAAATGAAGTGAGATTACTGTTCACAACAATTCCTGGACTCAGAACTACATAGAACATTTGAGTTGGTCATGAGAGCTTTATCCCTCTCTTTCCCAAGAGGCTGGGGAAAGAAGAGTAAGCAGAAACATGCTAATCAGATGAAAACAATCATCAGATGAATAACTATGCATCAGTTTAGCCAATATGCTTATTTTCTACTGAGGTATTAATACTTTGTTATGATCTCCCCATCTCTGCTGTTTCATTGACAATGCTTGCTGGCCTGTCAGCATAACCAAAGCCTTGAAAACAAAATCTAAGAAAACAAATAATCAGCATTATTACAGCATTTCAACAGCCATTTATATAGCACTTGCTTTAAAGGTTGAAACAAAAATGAACAGACCATTATGGTGCATAAATGTTTATATTCTGCCTAGCCTCAGAGGCTCAGCCACAGTACAGCTGCACAAAACTACATTTATTGACAAGGAAACTATATAGGAAAAGACACTGTACTAATGGCTACATTTAAAAAAAAATTAAGGGGCACAGCTTATATTGCAAAAGCATCAGTAAAAAAGAGAAAGAAGAAAAGCAAGTAGCATGGGCATCTCAGCACCTAGGCAAAGCCAACAAGCACCCTGGATGTTTCTTATGCACCTGCAATGCAGATCAAAACGGACAATTCCACCCCCAGGGCCGCCTGGGTTTCTGTGCCTCTATTTACCACCAGGCTCTGCTTTACACAGTGAAGCACGGCGAACTCCAGCGCCCACCGTGCGCTGCTGACCGTGGTGGCAAGGGCCCCTCCTTCCTCCCTCCTGTCCCACCCCAGATGCTGTGCAGGAAACGGAGCCTCTGCGCAGCTACGAGATGCTCCATTTCGGAAGGGGAGCCGCGCTTTCCTTGCTGCCATGTCCACAGCAACCAGGCACCCCCAGACCGAGAAATCGTAACCAGGGGCTCCCTCGCAGCCCCAGACGGACATGATGCATCCGCCTTCCCTCTCTGCTCTCGCCCCACAGCTTCAGTGTCACCCACCAAGACGCCACTGCCCCTTTCCCAAGTGAAAACACACTGAAGGAGGAGTGATGGAGGAGGATGCCGGGTGAAACCTGCCCCAAGGTGGGGGGGAAGGGACCCAGCAGCCCCGCTGAGGCACTTCTGAATTTTCCAGACACCGGCTCTGGCACCTTCACAGCTGGGAATGGGGGCAATGCCCTTGCCCTGAGCCACGCAGGGCTGCACCTGGGGAGCTGAGGGGTAGAACAACCTGCAAGAATAACTAACCTCCCAGTCTCCTCCTCTGCTCTAATGACCAGGAAAAAAATACAACCAAAAAATTAAAAAAAAAAAAAAGGAAGGTTTACCGCTGCCCTTAAAAGAGCGACAGAGGCACCTTGCTCCTCACTGCCCTGCAGTAGTTCAACGCCCGCCTGCCCTCCCCGCGCCGCAGGAGCAAGAAAATTATTTTATTTTTGATTTTTTATTATTATTTTTGCCCGGGGGCACCACGCTGATTGTGGCGCAGCCGCCAGGCCGTGGATCCACCCCCTCGCCCCACCAAGGCGCGGCTG